GAAATTCAACGAGCTCTAGAAGGAAGCTCCAGGTGAGTGTCCCAGCTGTGGCTGGTGGGGCGGCAGAGGGAAGTGGAAAATAGACAGAGGCAAGCCATGTTTATTTCCTTCTGCTTAGCTACAAGGCAGGGCTGTCTCAAGTCATTTTGCTGCCCTGAGTGAGTAGTAAGGGAGGACAGCCTCATGGTAACAGGTATGGTTTCCTCCACCCCTGACTTATGTTGATTTGGGGTTATGCAGTGGCAGCTAAGATAGAAAAGTGCCTCCTCCTATGCCATGTCTTCTGGGTTCCAAGGGTCTGGAAAGCAGTTCCATAGCCAGGAACAGGGTTGCCAAATATGGGTTGGGAAATACCTGGAGATTTTAGGGGTGGAGCCTGAGGAGGGCGGCGTTTGGGGAGGGGCGTAGGGTTGCCATGTCAGTTGGACAAGCCAGCGGGGGACTTACTGGGAGACTCCAGGAGTGGGGAGGGAAGATGTGTGACGTGTCCCTGTCACTTCCGGGTGACGCAGGCACGTCGGAGACATCAGGGGCAACATCTTAGTTCGTGGGCAAAATTCTATGGTAGAATTTAGCTTCTAATTCTGGGGACCAGGACGGACCCTGCTCACTGGGGGGACCGGGCAACCCTAGAGGGGAGGGACTTCAATGGGGCATGATGCCATCGAGTCCACCTTCCAAAGTGGCCATTTTCTCCAAGTTAACGTATCTCCGTTGCCTGGAGATCAGTTGTAATAGCGGGAGATCTCCAGCTACCCCCTGGAGGTTGGCAGCCCAAATGGGGAAGAAGAGGATTATGATTACTGCTACAGAAGCACCCCAATAATGTTTCCAGAGTTTCACAGGGTAAAAGGGAGAGATCCTTCCCTACAAAGAATTTATAATCTCCATGCAAGGCATAGGATTGCCAATCAACAGGTGGGGTGTGGTTCTCCTAGAATTATAGCTCATCTCCAGACTACAGGGGTCAGTTCCCCTGGAGAAAATGGCTCCTTTGGTGGGTGGGCTCTATGGCACTGGACCCCACGGAAGCCCCTCCCCTCCTCAAACCCTGCTCTCCTTAGGCTCCACCCCCAAATCTCCAGGAATATCCCAGCCCAGAGCTGGCAACCCTATAAGACCAGGACAGCAAAGGATTGCAGTAAGCAACCACAGTTATGCAGGTTTTGACCGGTGTGTGTGTGAGAGAGATTAAACATTAAAGGCAGAAGGTCAGGATAACAAGGCAGTAGACAGAATAGTGTGTTTCCTCTCAAGTGGGAGTCTCATTTCATATCACAGATAATAGTGGTAGAAAGAATAGTCCTCCGTGGATTTCTCTAATCTCCTTTTGAAAATAAGATTACAAACAATTTAGAGAAGGATAAACTTGCAGTCCTGAAGACTCGGAGTGGGATCCTTGCCCTCACAGTTTCTCCCTTGTCCACCAGCGCTGTGATCTCGTTTGAATTTCCTCACGAGGAGTTACTGGCCCACTGCCTCAGACTTTTGTTCAGCATTAGGCGCTCGTAGCAGAAAAACAGAATAGTGTATTCGTCTTGATCCCTTGTGCAAAGCACTCGTTGAAAGGGGGAACATATCCACTGTGCTTAGTTGGATCGACTCTGTTATCTCATTATTTTTTTTTAATTATTGAGTGCTGTTTTTATAGGGAAACATTGTCGAGTTTCCTTTGTATTATTGGCCCTCTCGGCAGCAGCTTCATAGTACAATGTTTCACATATTTTCAGAATGAAGTGGTGACCCGTTATTCCCTCGACCTTTCGGCAGTGGCGCCCCGTGATTGGCTACCCAGCCTCTCTCAGCTAATCTATGGGGAACGGGTGGGCGAGGCAGTCAATGGACGCCACAGACGCATCAGCAGTGACAGGGGCCAGTTAAATATTCCAGATTGTATAACTTTGAGCTGTAACTTTGGGCTGCACATGGCTGCATAGTTTCAGCCCCAGGTGACGGAACACAATGGAAATACAGAAGCGGATAGAGAACGTGTGCAAAGCTGCGACGTACACTAGATTAGCATACCAGCACAACATCCGCCCAGACTTCTGGCATGATAATTAGGCATACGTATCTGCTTTGGAGGGACCCTAGGCCAGTTTGCGCAAGACGCTATGCAAATCGAACATCCCCCAAGGGAAACGTTTTGCCTTTTTCCAGCGTCACGTTAAGTCGGGCCCTCGTTTTTAAATTCTCCCAAAGACAAAATTTTTAAAATGGCTTTTTTTTTCATTGCTAGCATCTAGAAAGCCATGGGGAGTATCCGCCTTCCTCCTCACTTCCCCCAAAGTGATAACTTCTCACAACACAATTCAGTAATTTCCTAGTTTCCAGAGGGGGCTTTTTGCTACTTTGGGGCTCCTCTGTTAAAGGCCTTGTATTCACATTCCTGCATTCCCATCGCCTGGGAAGGGCCAGGTCAGCATTCCATAAAACGTGCGCATAACATGGGCTGGGAGAAGACAGCCCTCCTCTCTGGCCGCCTCATCATCAACTACCCGCACCTCCTTGGGGAGGTCACCCGACACGCTGAGCAACTAAGCCCTTTCGCAAGCGGGCCTGGACGGTCACGGAACTGACCAACGGGTTCCCGAGCGCCGGTTGGGAACAAGACTTGAGCAATGACCCACAAACGAAACACACCACTAATATATACCAGCCGCAACCAATGTTCAGAATTACAACAGCCCTTCCCCCATAAGCATGAATAGCTACATGGATCTCAGCCTCACCAAACCCAGAGTCCAGCAAACGAAAAAACTGCTACAACATCTGGATGAACCTTGACGAGGCGAAAATAATGGGCAGATAGAGGGCTGGCATCTGGCAATCTTGCATCTCTGCATGTGGTGGGGGGAAAGCTCCCACAGAGGAGTGTTAGGATGTAAATTCTGAATGTTTTCAAAGGGTTCAGCCATCGTCTCTCTGGGTTCTGCCTGTACCTCCATCCCCCCCCCCTTAAGATTGAAGAAATCAGTGACTGGTCCCTCTGGAAACTGATCTAATGGATTGTGGAATGTAGCGAGAGTAATTAGGGCCTGGCACAGTTTCCCCCAGGCAATCCCCCAGAGTTTCTCCACCAGACTGTTTTGCAGAACAGTTACAAACAGAGAAGAATGAATGACTTCACAAATCCCCTTTTCATTCGCAAACACCAAAAAAGTTGCCTTATGTTTTCCCTTCCTTCGTTAACAGAGTCTGGCTCACTGTCACTGTTTTGGTAATCAGGATTCGAAAGCATCCCCGCTCCAAGAGTGAATAGCTCGTATTTTAGCAATGTATGCCAGACAGCTGCATTAAAAAAAATAAAATAAAAGTGTATGACTGATTAACTCTGGAAGCCAAATGAGCATTTAAAAATGCTCAGTATAAAGGGGAACGTTGGAAGAACCAACAAAAATTTTAATCATATGGTTTGTTCGTTTGTTTTTTAAAAAGCCAGCCTAGTAATGACTTGTTGCATTACTGGGCTTCTAACAATAATTCGTTTAGGATTGATTATTTTTTTAAGCCACGTGCAGCACAAAAGACAGAAATCCTCCAGCTTTAAAGAAACGAAATCAACAAGCCAAAAACTAATGTATTTCACTGTGACTGCAGTGAACGTGGATTTACAGAATCTGAGTTACATGAAAATATTATCACAAGGTGATATTTTTCTGTCATTATTTTCTGTCATTATCTGGAATCTTTCTAATACGGCGCCCTGTGGGGAAACCGAGGTAGAGTCACGCGGAAACACAACTGATAAAGCTCAACATTGCATTGGCTACAGTTGTACTGCTATTTTGCCAGGGGACATGCATTCCTGAAAATGACCATGTTAGATTAACAGGAAGGAGGAGGAGGAGGAGGAGATTGGATTTATACCCCGCCCTTCACTACCCGAAGGAGTCTCAGAGCGGTTTACAAACTCCTTTCCCTTACCCTCCCCACAACAGACACCAGCTGTGAGGTAGGCGGGGCTGAGAGAGCTCTGACAGAAGCTGCTCTTTTTCAAGAACACCTCTGACAGAACTATGGCTAGCCCGACGTCATCCAGCCAGGTGCAAGTGGAGGAGTGGGGAATCAAACCCGGTTCTCCCAGATTAGAGTCCACGCATCTAACCACTACGCCAAACTGGAAGGTGCTGTGGCTCAAGAGGAAGAACATCGGCTTTGCAGGTACAGGGTCCCCCAAGTTCAATCCCAGACCTCTCCAGCGGAAAGGAGGGCCTCAGGTAGCTGTAAAGGTAAAGGTTCCCTTGCTCGAAAGCCAGTCGAATCCGACTCTAGGGTTGCGGTGCTCATCTCCATTTCAAAGCCAAAGAGCCAGCGCTGTCCGAAGACGTTTCCGTGGTCATGTGGCCGGCATGACTA